TCCAGCAGCACACAGCAATTATTGGTTTAAATTTCAGCAGCTGTCTGCTCATAAATCTGATTGGTGCTAAATTCCCCATGAAGACAAACATGTACTGGCTCTGCAGTAATTCATCATCACTGATTGTAATCATACGAAGCACTCAGAGCTCTGTGATAACAATGACACTGATGTGGATGAGAGGATTTAGAGGGCTTATCATAAGAGCCTCACTAAAGCTTATGATGATATGAAACATTCACTGGCTGATAAAACTGTCACTACTACAGTTTTAGGCATGCTGTCAAAGGTTCGTACTGAAATGAATTTGATAAATAATAACAGAGGGAATGATTGTATATGAATGTGTCAGGAAGGTGTTGAAATTCTCACAAGTTCATCTGTGATTCCTGTTTTCCCACGGAGTGAATAACTTATGAACCAGTTGGGGAAAATTTGACATTTTCATCTGGATCTGGGTCTAAAGGAAGGTCAATGTAAATGTACATTAAAACAAATCAACCATCAACTTATATATGCATTCCCATGTCCATACTGTATAAGTGGGCTTGAACTGTGGCCTCACCACTGTTAATAATGGATACAGCCATTTCATAAACTTGAGAATGCAAATATTATAAACAGACTTGAACAAAAAAAAGACAGATTCTTTCACTCGGACTCGAGTGTGATGACTTAGTAACTGACTCAGATTGATTTTTATACCTGTTTTTTTTTCAAAGATATCACTGTTTGGGGAAGGACTGACGTGTTTGTTCTCTTATATACACAATCATGGTTTTGTTCAGCAACAATTCCTGCCAGGTAGCCTGAAGAAATACCTCAAATCATTGTGGTCAGGATTTAACAGTAAATCCAACATGTTTGGATAAATAGAAGCACGATGAAGTTTAAGACAGAAACAACCTCAAACTTTAATTCGTCCAGGTTGTACCATAGACTGTATATGGACAACTTGGCTCCGCCTTCCGTCATTATATGAATTTAAAGCTGAATTGCTTTGGTATTTCTGGGATTTTTTCCACTTCCTGGAACCACCGCTTGCGCAGTAGCATTGTACGCATTCGCCGGGAGAGTCACTGTGATGACGCTTGGCTCAAACAGCTTATCCTCCGGGTGAGCTACACAATCTACATACGCCCATAGGCTGTATCAAGTGTCAATCATAAAAAATATGAAGCCCTAATAACTTTAACTGCACAGAAGAAAAAGAGGACTTGGGCACAAACAAGTCTTACATTAACTACGTGTCAACATCGTAAGCAGGGGGGAGAAAAATGTAAATTCTGTGTAATTAATTTCTAAAGTTTGTCCACAGCTCCATAAGGATTGCTGAAGGAGGCGGGATTTACGACCTACACTGCAGCCCGTCACCAGAGGGTGCTGTTCTCACAGTGGCTTTACCCAGTGAGGAGGCAGACGGCGTCCGTTCTATATACAGTCTATGGGTTGTACCCAGAAGAGAAAATAACATGTACTTCAACTGTGTGCCAGCTAATGTAGTCATTTCAGTGACTCAACCACTGGGTCCATGATGATTGCCTTACTAATTCTGACTGACAAAAAGTGGGTTGCAGGTTCTTTGCACAATTAGATTAGCCCGTGCATTGTGCTAATCATAGCAGATACTTTAAGTCAATTTTCACAATAAGAGAGGTGTGATGTGCATTTATGTGCAGTGCACAGCTCTGTATCCTCACTATTAATCTAAAAATCCAGGCACACCAACAGGATGTCAGGATCAGTTTGAGTCCAATGTTAATAAACCAAATGTGTTTTCTAAATGTTCAATAGGTCTCGCACAGTCAGCCAAGGTTCATACAGTGAATAGTTTGGAGTCAAACGACGGTCCTCCTTTTATAATAATTCTAATCCAACTACAATTTTTCTGTAGTGACAAAGACTTGCACTCATCATTTTAGTCCAGTAATACATAAATGCACCATCATAATACAAATTAGATCATTCCCTCTGGGAAATTTTAAAGGGCCACAGGGACTATGACTGGGGTGTGCACATTATGATAAGATTCTTTCAAATGATTAACACCAGTAGCATTGTGATATTATATACAAGGAGTACATCTACAAGAAACATTCCTTTATCAATAAAAAAATATAATAATAAAATAAAAACAGAGCCGGTGTAGTAGACGTTTTTTTTTTTCTTGTCCCATTGTCTTGAGGGCAATTTTTTTCAGAAACTTCATGAAAAATTCATATACAGTAGAGAGAAGTAATAGCACACCGATCCCAATCAACCACATATTTTGATATATAATTTGTCCCACAACTCTTCAAGATGTAGGACTAGTAGTGAATTGAAATTTGTCCACAGGCGATTGCCCCGTGGCCCTAACTATACAACATACTTTACAACATGATGAATTAATCAGAGCAGACTGAGAGTTAAGTGTGGTAGACATATAAATCTGGAAGCAAATAAACACAACCAATCATTTAGAGAGAGACCTCCCTCTATGCTTCAGTCACAGTTAAGGAGCCCCGGCAGTCCGGCCGGAGGAGTCCTTACAAGCATAGCCCTTCCTGTGTGTCAGATCTCTGGGGAGAGGAATCTAATACCCCCCACCCATCCACCCAACACACACACACTCTCTCTCTGCACGCTTGGTAGAGCACATTCACTGTACCATGAGCGACAGAGTATGAGATTTCACTGTTTGGGTTGGCAGCCCTGACTCAAACTGCCTGCATGTTAAAGAGGCAGTGAGGACAGACAGGCATCATAATGGAAGTATTTGAAACATTCCCCTGTTTAGTTTGAAGCTGCTTGGAGCTGTGCATTGTGTATACAAGTACAATGGCAGCATGATTCATGATAGTCACTTTTGTGCTAAAGCATTTCAGTGCTGTTATGTCATGTGTTTATGTGCTCATGTGTTTGATGCTCACAGCTGGGTTCAGTGAACACAGCACTGAGGTCATATCTATAAGTGGAGGTCATATACAATCTATTTATGAGGAGTTCAAGCCAGACTCTTAAAGCTACAAAGTGGTGGTTTAGCGAGCTAATTTACTGTAAACTGTGCATGCTTAACACTGTTCTGCTTTTGATGATGTGAACATTGATTTATCAGCGAGACAGTTAAGCTTTGAGATTTTACCTATTGTCCTTGTCAATGTTTGAACTAACTTGTTGTTCAAATATATGCCATCTTATGAAGAACAATAATGCCGTTAAAAGGCCCATTGTTCAGATAAGTTGTTTTATTCTGTCTTCCATGTGTTTTATATCTTGTGCTTTTTTGTTCCATTTTGTTTCTACACTTGTCTCTTGTGTCTGATTGCTTAACTTCATGTCCTATTGCCTCCACTCCTTCTATGATTATCTTAATGAGACTCACCTGTGTCTTGTTATTTCCTTTTTCTCGTGTATATTTAGTCTCAGTATCCCATCTGTCTATGCCTGTTGGTCTATCCCCCAGAGTAATATTATTAATATTCCAGCATTCTGTTGCATAAGTTTTCATAGTGTTTTGACCACGTTTTGTTCAGAGCAAGTATTTCAGTGAGCAGCGATTCTGAAACATGTTTTTAAACTGTTAAAGCAGCACTGATTTATTCAGCCTGTTCTGCTTTATAATGGTGAAAAACATGCAATTAAATGTTGAAGAACAGAGCTGATATTGATAGCTAGTCATTTTGGTGCGATACATATATAAGACAATTGCCATGCGCTAGATAACCATCAGAGGTTTTCAAAAGTCTCCTCCTTAGAAAGAGTTTTCTAAATCCTCTCTTTTCTTGCAACCTAAAACTCCGTTTACATATTAGTTGGAGGCCAAAATGCAGCAAATCTAATAATAACAATAACATTTTTTTAAATATCTCCACACATGTGGAAAAGGTCTCAGTCTGAGCTTTCTGTTCTTCAACCTCCTGCGCTTCAAGCTGTTTGAATAAATAGATGAAGGATTTTTGTGAATCATACAGTATTGGTGTATACTTGTTGTTCAGGATGATATCTGTCATATTTTGATTAATTTAGCCACTAAAAAGGGAAAAAGAGCATAATCTAACTTACAATGTGGCATCATTGATTATAAAGTGTGTCTTATTTACACGTTTTTCTTGGTTTCCAAAGGGCTTTATTGAAAGAAAAAAAAAAAAAAGAAGAAAAGAAAAAGTTCCCTGAGTGGAAACTGTTTTTGAAGAGGGTTGACTTTACAGTAAAAAAAAACACATGATTTGATTTCTTTGAATATCATCAAATACTTCTCCAGAAAAGGAGTAGTAGTCAGATTTTTGGGGTTTGGTTCATTGAAAACAGACATATAAGAACTCATTATCTTCAGTTGTTCAATTGCATTGCGTTTCAACCTGTTTAAAAAGTGATCATAGAAGTGATTATTTTTCAAATTCATTTTGGGTTATGGAGTACAGGAGTACTTTGTCCCTCCAGGGACTAGAGCCAAAAGAAATGTTCTCATTTCATAAAACTTAACACAAATGATGGACAGGAAGAAAGGTACTTCCTCTCCTCTATCTGTAAACATCCAGTCAATAAAAATCTTGTGGGAGAGGGAGTGTGGAGTTTTTTGTCCGACCATCCATATACAAGAGGTCCAGCTCTATTTTTGGGCACAGCTCCTGCGTCCCACACATGCATGTTTCCCCTTGAGTGTCTAGTGACATCTTTTTCCCAGAGATCTATGTATACATGTGCTGGGTCCTCTATTTATCATGCAGGCACTCCCACATCATGTTTGAGGTTCCCAGGGACAAGGTTTTCCATGTGGAGGTGGGCAGCTCAGTGAGAAAACCAAGAAACATGCAGTAGTTTCACGCAGTGCCAACATAAATCAGTTGGATTTGACATCTCACATCAGGATAAGCTGCTTTCTTAAATACAGAGTAGACATTTGGGGCAAATTGGATTTATTATGAAGTAAAACCAAGATTTACTGTTGCACAAACTGAATCAGAGTCAGATCTTGAGCTGTGGAAAAACATCTTTTATATAATAGCATCAAGTCTTGGCCGATTAAAGATTCCCACTGTGGTTCCAAATAAACATGTCATCTTGAATCATTTTGAATTTGACAACCATCAGATGGTTGGTCACTGTGCATGTTTTCCAAAGGACCGTGGTGAAAGTCTCCCAACACAGTCTGGATTTGATCGAAGAAAGTGTTTTGTTGATTTCCAAACACACTGTGAAAATTTGTCTCAGACACAGAAGCTCCATGTTGACCTCTGCAAATCATTATGTCAGTGATGTCTGCAAGTTTTATGGCATCTGGGGAGAAAAAGAAAAAAGAAAAAAAAAAATTTTTTACCCACCTCTGTGAAAAACACAATTATTGAGATAGTTTTAGCCTTAGGGCCTGTGTCCACTAACAGCGCTCAGCTAGCTGTGACTTTCTGATTAAGGCCAACGCAGTTCAGCATTTTCAACACGGTGCACTGGCAGTGGTCTCAGTAAAAAATTGTTTAATTCTTAAACACTACCATGATTGTCATTGTTACTGTTGCCTCAACACAACGGGCTGATATCAAGCAGGGCAGAAGCTCCTCAGGCTCATATATTCAAGGTCACAGTTCTTAGGCAGGGCTCAACAGTGCGACCGTTTCACTTGCATTTGCAACTAAAAATAGATGTGTGCGAATTGAAAAAATGTATTTAGGGGCCCATGTGCGCATAAAAAAAATCAGCCAAGGCAACAATTGTTTTTTCATGTGAATACCGCAGTGAAGTTAGTTTTAGGTTGGATATGTGACGGACATTCACTGAGGATCTACCAGTGTGCACTTTCAACAACTGGGAATAGCAACAGCAACATGGTTGAATCTACTTGGCAGTCTCGCTGTCAACGTCGGGTGTTGAATAAGGGACCATCAATAAATTACTGGTTGATGTTCACTGAAAAGGTTGTTTTCCTTCAATAGCTTCCATGTCATGTGACAAATTGACCTAAAATTGATTTTAAATAATAATACTTATGTTGACCAATAAGACACACCTCTTTATTTCCCTAATTTGTCCTCATACATTTTTTGTGTTAAATTTAAAGGCAAATTTTAAACATTTTCTTTAGTAGCTTCCATGACATGTGGCCAAAAGACTTATAATTGTTTTCGAATAATAGAACTTCTGTCGACCAATAAGACAAACAGTATTTGATCAATTTTCATGTGCTGCTAAAGTTCTTTGTGTGCTCCTTACTTTTTCAACTTAAGAGCACATGCGCTCCTTGTGAAGAAAGTTAGAGTCAAGCCCTGCTAGGTCTGAGCCTCTGCTAATGCCAGTGCAGAACTCCTTTCCATTGTGTTTATGTTGACTCTGTCATGCTCACCATGACTGCAGGGATGCTATCACAGTAAACACAAACATCAGTGTCACCCTCTTAGCATTAACTTATCCACCGTCACTGTGAGCAAGTTTAATGTCAACTTTGGCTCTTAGTTGAAAACATGGCTGTGCCAGCTTCACAGGGAGACTGGCTGTAAATATTTTTCAAATCCAAGACATGAATTTGAGTCGAGTTGACATATTGTTGTGAGAGTCTTGCTTTCTGTTACAGATAAAAATATGATAAAATGTGCAATGCTGGCATTGTTTGGGCCAGGTCTAAGCTGGGAGATATTTGAAATACAGTATTTCCAAAGTTAATAAGCTCTCTGTGGCGCTGATAGAAGCCATCTGACTCGTTTCATGACGGACTGTTGGTTCTAAATTCTTTGTGTTGCTCCCAAATTTTTTTTCTCCTTTAGGCTTAAAGGCGAGGATGCAACTCACAATCCCAAGAGCACTTAACCACGGACTCGTAATTGTATGATAGATTAACCGATAACTGAACCGTCAAACAGAACAAGCAGCTGATCCAAGTAAACACAACAGGGCTAAGCAAACAACAAGAGAGATTGTCACAGCAAAGGTCAAATAATAATGATGAATATTGAACTTTTTCCATGCTGCTTGGCTGGCAGATGCACCATTTCCTGCTTGGATGTATCAGAACTTGTAAGTGGCTTTTTTCATAGCTGTATTGGATGTCTTGGATGTTGAATTTGGTCTTGGTAAAGGAGCTTCATCCAAGTTTCCATCCAACTCCTTTGCACGGACACTAAAAACAAGCTGACATGAAGTTGGCTTCTGCTTTAAAAGTTGATTTACTTTCAAAAAGGAGTTTCCATTGTCACGATATTCATAAAAACTGGTGCAGAGTTTTTCAGCTGTGACAGACGTTGTTCACAGATGAATGTGTTTGTTAAAAATGACAACAGACATGCTTTTTTTTCAGATTCATTGGTGAACAAACATAAGTTTCAGGACTTTCAAACCTGCTGCATGTTGTCATCACTTGGTGGCCAAGTTTTTCTCTGCCTAGATGACAGACTGGAGACAGAAATTGTTTTCAGATGAGTCAAGTATCACAGGGAGAAGAATAATGAACATACTGTAAAAGTTCAGCTTGCCTGCACATTATTCACGCCTGGTCATTTATCAAAAAAAAGGGCAACAGTCAGGAGAGGAAAAGAACTTCTCGATCCAAAAAACAATCAATCACTCGCACTATCCTCTCTAACACTCTGAACATTTGCATAAGCATTTGAATTGTAAAAACTTCTTCTTGCTGAAGTTGCTTGAATGAAAGACAAATAGACCAACATGCTGTTGTACTCTTTGTGTTTCCTCCTCCTGATGGTTGTTATCTGGATTAGTGTATGTAGAAGTGTGTCCTCCTGTCAATGATACCGCACATTCCTCCCTAACATTCACAATCAACTCCTCAGTTTCTTTAAATCTGATTACAGGAGCTTTCCTTAGACAATTTGAGCTTTAAGATTTGTCCATGCTGGAGGTCTTGGTCATGTTTCATTACTCTGCACTGTAAAAGGCAACATGGAAGCAATTTGATTTGATTGAATGATCCCTTGTGCTATAGTGCATAATTTTACAAAGCTCTCTTTCCCCCAGTGTCTGCATCTCCACCAGACAGTTTATTGAGCCCACTGTGAGTTTTCTGTGTCACGATAGCGTGAGGAATAAACAATGCACCTATAAACATGTAAACCAGTTGTCCACAAGTGGGAAAGTAAACCTCTTTTTTTATTCATAACATTGCCACCATGAACATTGGCACACAAGGTGGCTGTGAGGTCTTTCACTGGTCTGTCATCTGTCTGTGAGCTTGCGGGATTTTGGGCGCTGTGATGTGTACTGTGTGTTTTTTGGATCCTATACTTGTTCAGTGTTGTTTTTAAGAGGAGTGCTAAACAGATAATAAGCTGGTAGAGATGTGCTGACATCCTATGATTAAAAAACGCAGCTGCAGAAGAGTGTAAGTCTCCCAGTTGGGATTATCTTTAACTGCTGTCTTTGTCAGAAGAGGATCCTCAAAATCCTTAATAGCTGAGCCAGTTCTGAGAGCAGAGGTAGATCAAGTGACTTAAATCATTCCTGAGTGTTTGAAGTGCTTGCTCCTGTCAGTTCAGGAAAACACAAGACCAATAATTTACCCTGTATTATAAATATTACAACAGTTACTTCAAAGAAATGTGACAGGATGAAAGACATTCAATAAGTACCACCATGGAGAATAACATCACTGGGATTTTTTACTTGCTGCATCCTCTGCCTCAGCCAGGTTCTCTTATTAATGTTTTTTTTTTTTTTTCCATCAGTCTTCTGTATAAAATAATTGATTCTGATTGGTCAAAACCCCAGAGTTTGGTTAATTCTCAATAGCAACAAGGACAGGACTCGATTACCATCATCATATCAAATTAATACATGTTAAAGAGTCTTCTCCCTATCACCACTAATGCTTAAACATTAGTGTTCATCTCATGCTGGTCTTGGGGGTAGGGAAATGCTGAAGGCAGATGTAAAAAAAAATCTGAGGAACAACTGGACCCCACAGTCTCAAATAGGGAGGAGTGGGGCAATATCCAGGCCTGCACTCCGGGCTCAGAAGCAAATCTGGTGAGTACGTCTCAAAGTTACGAATCAGTGCAAAGTAATCTAAACCATATGTTGTTGTTATAATCGCAGTGTTAGAGGTTGTAATATTTTTTCTCATTTTTGTTCATGGATGAGTCAACTAGAGCTCTGAGACAGACAGCTGGATTGGAAATGGAGTGAAAACAAGACTTACACTTAAAGGAATATTCCGGCGTAAATTTGAGTTATGGTCAAACGCAACCTAACACTGACTAAGACACCCCCTTGAGAGATGAATGTTGCCGACTGCTTGCTACTCTCATTATACCAACTTTAGCAAAGACAGCATGATAGCAATACACAGCGGTCTATCACTCCATGCATAAACCTCAATCAAAAAGACACTTTATAGCTACAAATAATGCTCAAAACAGCACCTAACTTTAACAACAGTAGGGTCCCAGCCAAAGTAGTAGCCATCAAACATCTTTTTAGCTTTGCCTGATATCTTTAGCAAAGAGACTAAACACAACTCACCCACTTTCCTCCAGCAGCCGCTTGTTTGTGGGGAAGCCCTGAAGAGTTGATCACCGAGCGCAGTGGATCATTTCCTTAGAGTAACAATCATTATATTAATCATTGTGCACTGCAGATGCGGTAGTTCCTCTGCCTTAACGTCTCAGTCGGATTGCATTTCCATGAAATAATAATCATAAATGTTCTTCCTTGAGCTGCGAAACTCCACTGCACTCGACACTGATCGACTCGTCAATACCACAACAGCCTCTCAATTCACTCTTTGGTGATAAAGTAGATCTAACTATTAAATACACAGAAGCATAAGCAGTGCTTCGCCCAAAATGTGATGTTGTACCAAAAATCAGCACAAATGTGGTTATCTTTGATTTTCAACTTTGTGCATCTGAACAAGTCACTGCAATACTGATACTCAGTTCAACACCACTTGCTCAAATGAAGTACTGTCTGAAAATGTAACCAGTTGGCTTAACTTTTTTTTTAATACAGTATATATATTTGGACATTTTTCTTATATAGGACATCTGAAAAAAGACAAGAAATGTGAGAGGCAGAGAGTGAAGGATATGCAGCATACAGGATCTATAGCCTCTGCAAAATGGTGCATGCCTAAATTACTTGGCCAGGCACTTTGGCATACACCAGATTCACTTTGCCTGAAGATTCCTGATGGATGTGATTATCTAGATCTGATGAAAAAAAAGAAGAAGAAGGATTTCACTGTCATAAATTGATTTAAGAAGATTTTATTTGATTTCATTGACACAAAAGTTCTCAGAATTTTGAATTAGGCGAACAATTGGATGATTAATACGTATGGCTACACGCTGACTTAATAACTTTCCAGTGACACTTGTGCAAACAATAACAACCGTGTTGAAGTTGATTGTGGATGTGTCTTTAACAGTCTGTCAGTGCACAGAGTTTTTCTCTGTGGAAACATGTTGTCATTGCTGTTTTGTTTAGCTTCAGGGGGCCACTTTTTCTGTCCATGACATAAAACATGTTGTGGAAAGGTCAATAGTGAAAATAAGCGAACAATATGTCTACACCATCTATGAACTACACCATTTGTCTTTCTTCAGAGTCATTATAAAAGGCTTGTTAATCTAAATACACTAATGCTGTTTAGATTGTTACTTCAACGGGTTGCACCATCATTGTACATTTGCCAGTGCTGCTCTCTCCAGAGTTTCTTATCTCAGCTGGAAGCTGCTGGAAATGGATAACCTAGTTTGACTTGATGGATTGCAGATAGTAGCTGAGTTTTTTTTCTAGTGTTAGCACAGCAGTATTAGAGGCAGATGATCGAGGCTGAGGCTGATTCTGCTTGGACAGGAATAACAGATCTTGGGCTGTCAGATACAATAAGCTTATTTTTTAGGGGAGAGGAGAAAATAAACTCAGAGAAAGAGAGGGGATAAAGGGTTGAAGATGAAAAGCTTTAGAAAAAGAGTGAACAGAAATGACACACACGCCTCTGTCACACGTGTTTCCTTTTCTGCCCTCCAGCACAGAAAATAAGTAAGTCTCTGTACCTCTCTTCTCTCCAGATATACCCTCTTTGGTCTGATTCCCTCTTAAGGATTTCTAACACAAATTTTGGCTGCAGCAACTTTGGCAGGAGTTTGTTTTGAAGAGACTGTTGAACAAACACTCCCTGATCTGCTTTGTCACACACACTAAGATAAATACATATCTGATGGCCTTTTCCAGATAACAGAGTTAACTCACTTGGACTCTGCAGGGTCCACACACACACACACACACACACACACACACACACACACACACACACACACACACACACACACACACACACACACACACGTGTTTGCTGTGCTAAATAGAAGACATGTCAAAGGTGTAGGTAGACATTAATTTACCCCTGATGGATTTTACTGAGTTTGCAGCACTGTCTCTGTGAAATTATCAGCTACTGTAGACAGATGAGGAAAAAGGCATCTTTCTTTTCTCCAAGATTGGACCCGATGGAGGATAACTTTAGTCATTAAAAAAGAAAAAAAAAAACTGAAGCAACCCCCAACTCTCATCATCAGTCTCCTTTTAACCTCTCACCTCAATCTCAATCTATTAAAGTGACAGCATTATTTACACTGTGATGTTGTTTTTGTGGTTAAAGAGAAGAAATGTCACACTCCTCTTTCCCCTGCAAGCAGTAGTGATGCAGAGGCAGACTGTAGGTGGTCTGAGTTTAGGAAAACATTTTCTGTTGTTGCTCATTTTGAAAATGAGGAAACTAAGTGCATGCCACAATATGATGAGGGTCAAAATAATATTGTATCTAAATTGAATAATATACTATTAACCCTGACCTGCACCCAAACTCTGAGTGAAACATGCTGGTTTGCTTTTGTCAAACTTTCCAGTGAGTCAAGGTTTTTGTTGATCTTTTGTGGAGCCAGAGCACTCCCTCTCCCATTTAACAATTTCATTCATTTTCTGTACACTTTTCTCCTGTAATAGTAGAAATTTGATTATTAAAAGATCACTGTCATGACAAATACTATTTATACTTTACATGTTAAAATCTTGTTTACTGGTTTTTAGGGGTGTATCCAGATTCTTTGACCACAGTGGCCAAACTGCGGCACAGACTGAAAACTAGTGTGACAGTTTTGAACTGGTTTCAAAACAGTCTGAAATCAACATTCATACTTTCTGAGTGAAAAAGAAAAAATAAGTATAAATATAATGAAATCATAAAATAACTGACACATTATACACTGAACAGAAATATAAACACTCCACTTTTGTTCTTGCTCCAATTTTTCATGAGCTGAACTCAAAGATCTAAGACTTTTCCTATGTCACAAAAAGATCTATTTCTCTCAAATTATGTTGACAAATTTGTCTAAATCTGTAAAGCTGCAGCTTTTAGAGTGTCCTTTTATTGTGGCCAGTCTAAGGTACACCTGTGCAGTAATCATGCTGTCTAATCAGCATCTTGATATGCCACACCTGTGAGGTGGATGGATTATCTCAGCAAAGGAGAAGTTTTCACTAACACAGGTTTAGACAAATTTGTCAACAATAATTGCAAGGAATAGGTCTTTTGTGTACATAGAAAAAGTCTGAGACGTTTGAGTTCAGCTAATGACAAATGGGAGCAAAAACAAAAGTGTTGCATGTATATTTTTGTTTAGTGTATATCATTACTGTTCATGCCTGAAACAACTGCCAAGGGGGTAAGTGTCAGATGAACTTTTCATGACTGAGATTCTCATGAATGACACATCTGACTATTTAAAGATGCTGGCAAAAGATTTGATATTCTGAGACTACACGTGCAGGCTAGATCATTAATGAGAGCAGACATACCACTTTGTAGATTAATGGGGCAGAGTCACCACATAAAAAGCACCACACAGTAGCTTTAAGTTAAACCATAGAAAAGGGGCTGTATTTAAATCAAAGTAAAGCGATAAGCAGCCCACATAGTTGACTTTAACCAAAGTCCTGCCTCTGTGCTGCTGAATGTACATGGTAAGCCAGTTTAATTTATTTATTTTGTTAATCTTTTACTCCACTGACTTGGCGGCATTTTTTTCTCAGTTCTCACACTTTTTTGGCTGAGTTATTTTTTTAACATTTATTACATTTGTCAGTAGTAGCCCGTATGAATATTTTCTTTGGGCTTCCACATTAGACCAACAAACACAGATGGCAAATTCTATAGGAGGAATTTTCTACTTGAGATTTCCAGTTTTCACCTCACAAAGCAATGATTTTGTTCTGCGTCTCAAAAGCTTATATTATAGCTCTTAGCAGCAGACCTATTCAGAAACTCAACATTAATAATTCATTCCTTTATGGTCTAATACTTTGATTTATCCCTCTAAAAAGTAAATGGGACAAATTTTCTGTCATTTATAATTTTTAGGAACCCCAGTGTATCCTCTGGGGAGCCCTCAGCACGGGAGCAGTTGTCGGCAGTAGTTGGTCACGGGGTTCCTGGTGGAGGTTAGTGTCTGCCACATCTCAATCAATCAATCAATCAAATTTTATTTATATAGCGCCAATTCACAACAGTCGTCATCTCAAGACGCTTTTCAAGGAACAAGAGCAGGTCTGGACCACGCTCATTGTTTGATGATCAAGAACCAACCTAAGATGGGTTTTGGCCCATCTCAACTAACATGAGTTACAGTGGCAAGGAAAAACTTCCTTTTAACAGGCAGAAACCTTGGGCAGGACCAGCCTCATGCTAGACAGCCACCATGCCGCTGCTGGGTTGGGGAGGAGTGTAGAGAGAAGAGGGGAGAGGGGGAGAGGACAGGGGGAGGGAGAGAGACAACAAGATAGGGGAAAGGCGAGAGAGAATGAGTATGGAGAGGGAGGGGGAGGGAGAGAGAGTAGGGAACGAGGGTGAGAGAGAGACAGGAGGCAGCAGGAACAACAGCAACAACAACAACAGCTCATGTAATGGTGAAACAAAAAGAAGTTCAGTTTACAGGTTTAGGATATGAGTGATAATGGACAATGTTGAATTAATTGAGTGCGATTACAGTTAGCAGGCTTAATCGTAGTCAGTTCTATTTTGTATTATTAATGTCAATAATGACAGTGAGGCTGATGTTCATGTCTGCAGTAACATCTCTCCTCTGGCCCAGTGTCGGTGTCCTGTCGCTGTGGGCAGCTCTCTGCTCCTGGTGCTGATGGCTCCTCTAATGGCACTTTCTCAACTGGTTCATCTGTACTCAGCCTCATGTCCACTATCTTAGCATGTGTATGTGCAGATGCATTGCTGTGTGCGCGTGCGTGTGTGTGTGTGTGTGTGGCTTTGGATGAGACTAAATGTGACTGTTGATTGTAGATTGTATTGTTAGGTGGGGTAAGGCATTTGTGGGGGGTAGGGCATCTGGGATAGTTTTTGGCTTTTAAAGTGACTGTAAAGCACTTTTTGTTACATCCTTTTGTATGAAAAGTGCTTCATAAATAAAGTTTGATTTGATTTGAGCTAACTCTTACAGACAAACAGCCTCTTCCATTCACCTCCTGCATATGACTATCCAAACTTTTATGAAACACAGATATTAGAGATTTTTAAAGCCCCCAGCAAGTGCCTTGCTTTTATTTCAGCCAGCAGTTCCCACACACAACATTCAAGGCTCATTTGCCAAACAGTATTTACTACTGGCAAATGGACTATCAGGTCTGGAGATCCTCAGAGATGTGATAGACTCTTGATACTATGCCAACAGTGCATGGATCTGGGCTGAGGAGATGCACAATGAGGCCAGGGAGTATGCACAAGGAAATCTATTGTTGCTACCAGTGCTTTATTTTCTTAAAATTGAGAGTAGAAGTCAGAGCTGAAACAACCTTCTCTGGATAGATTTTCTCAGCTCTTAAAGCTTGGATTGATTGTCCTGCTCATAGTATCTCTTCTTCTTTTGATTGTTATGCCCAAAATGAGACTTTTCTCTTTATATACCAAATTAAGGCATGATTAGAAAAGATCCTGTATCAGGCCAGAGTAGCTGACTTCCCCCAGTGAAAGAGTAAAGAAGAACTTTATGTACAAAGACAAAGAGTGAATCTATACTCAGTGACACCTAATTGCCTCCAGCCTCTTTGTGAGACAAACAGACATCAAACTTATATTTATGGTCAAACTAGAACATTTTGGTAACATCAGATGAGGTGAGTGGGGCTTATGTAGGAATATTTATGTTGACACCTATCACTGCTATGCAGATGATACTCAGCTCTTCCTGTCTTTTCCACCTGATGACAAAACTGTTTCAGCTCGGATCTCATCCTGCCTCGCTGATATCTCTAAATGGATGAGGGAACATCACCTACAGCTCAGTCTGTCCAAGACTGGGCTTATTATCATTCCAGTCCCACTTTTGACCCACAGATCATTATCCAGTTTGGATCTTATAACCTCATTCCTACCAATTCTGCCTGATATCTGGGTGTCATGATTGATGACCTGCTAACCTTCAGGGTTCATGTTGCCTCGATTGCCTGATCCTGCAGATTTGCCCTCTATAACATCTGGAGGATCAGACCCTATCTGACAGAGCATGCAACACAGCTGCTGGTACAGGCTCTTGTAATATCATGCATTGACTACTGCAACTCCTTACTGGCAGGCCTCTCTGCTTGCAGAGTTGGCTAAAAAATGATAAATAAATATTAACATTTTTTTATTTTTTCAAATGTGTTTTATATCACATTATTTTAAACCTGTACAAAGATATTTATTCATGCACCTTTGTATATTTTAAGATGTTTCATGTACATTTACATAAAGATAAACAAAAAAAAATTAACTGTTTGAAATTTAAGCTTTATTTGTACAATAAACGTTAAGGGAGTGCAAAGCTGATGAAACACTAAGGGCTCTATTTTCGTTCGCGCCGGTGAGGCGGCGGAGGGCGGCGAGCCCCGCGCAGTTGTATTTTCGTCTGGCGGAGCCCGGTGTAAGGCGAGTTTGGTATTTTCGTGGACTGAGTCGCACGGAGGCGGGCCGAGATCCGCCAAGCTGGGCGTGGTGGCGTGGCAGGGGGAGGTGATGACAGAATCAGCTGGCGCAGTGACATTTTCGTGCTCGCCACTGGCGTGTAACGTGCGCTGAAAGCTCGCCGATTCAAACCTGGTCAGCTTTCAGCGCAAGGCGGAACGCAGCTGGTCCAGTAGTATTTTGGTAGACCGGCGGCGTATCGACATACGTCACTGATGCCTCACCGGCAGGTTTCCACAGTGTCAGGCAGATTTCAGTGCAATAAATAATGATCAACAACTATTAATCTGAGTCAGCACATACATTTAGATCTATATCGATATATTCTGATCTATATCTGATCTGATGAGCGCGTTTGGCACGCGTTTGGACACACAACCTGACCGAATCAATACAGCTGAAACTGCATCAAATTAAATTAAATATCTAGTAAATAAACGCACATGATGAAGTTAACAAGATATGTAATGTGTCTCCCTCCTTTTCTTTCTTCCTCTTATTTCTCGCACAGCTCGACCTGGACACGTCTCCGTGTCCTCTGTCCGTCTTCCTGCTGCTGCTGCGGCTGAACAGATGATTTGTTTCAGTGCTCAGATGCGTTATCTACTTTAAGCCGACATACGGATATTATAATATTCAGTTTTGTGAGCCAAATTTATTTTATATGCCAACATCTATGAAAGAAAGAGCCAGGCCACGGAGCGCGATGCGTCATTTACGCACAGATGGTTCCGATTTTAATGCCTTTTTGGAGTTTATGTTGTGATCTGTGCGCTCAACCCACCTTTGTCACGTGAGGTTTGAATATATGCAACTTTATGTGAGTGTCTTTATTTGTGGAAAAGGGTGTTTGTCTTACCAGTGGGTCCAACATTACGCACACCAAATCCATCTGTGCTCAGATGAGAGAGTGTGGAGGACACTTGTTGAGCAGCTGCCCTCTGTCGCCATCGTGTGGCATAACTGTCTTCAGACATCTCTTGATCTCTTTGACTACTTCATGAAAATAGTAATACGCCTCGCCTGTGGCGGATTTAAAGGCGAGGAGAGGAGCTAATGTGATTGGTGAAAACAGGTCTCGGCTGTGTTAAACCCCCTCTCCTCCCCGTCTATGATTTATGCTGCCGGGAGGAGCTGAGTTAGGGAGGGGGGATACTTACGCCGGGCTGCGCGGCTCACCAAAATACCAAAATGTGCTTGGGAACGCCTTGTCAGCGCGGCGGATCTGATTGACTCTGCGCTTGCGGCACATCTCCAGCGAGGCACCAAAATAGAGCCCTAAATGTCATTATTATAATATGAAATGCCAAAAAAATCTGCAATTGCAAGACCTAAATAAAGGACAGTCAAAGGAATTAGGTACATACCATATTTTATGCATTACCCCATCATCTTACATTTGCTCAGTTTTGGGTTAAAACTTCACCCGAAACTGAGCAAATGTTGGCCTGGCTTTTTCTCCCACTATTGTTTGCATGTAAAATGACCTCAGCTCATCTAATTGTTGTGGCTGAGACTGAGTGGGGAGAAGTGGAGGCGCTCCCGCTCAGTTATATTGAATTATGAAAGTTACGTTTATTAATAGCCCATAATTTGAGAGGTGGATGTGAAGTACAGGTGGTAATTTATACACTCCCATGGGATTACTGAGACATTTCAAAAAGTAGCCAAGGATGTCGAGTTGCTGCACATAGGTGCTCTGATACTAAAACTGACAAACAAGGGACTTTTTTTTTCTTTTTACATGAACCAGACAACTTTCCTTTTCAGCTTGTAGGTTAGGCTTTCGAAGATCTGTCATTTAGTCTGATCCTCCATAGCCTAGCTACTGCTGAAAATGTTAATTAACAGAGGTCGGGCGGGTGGGGAGTTGCTTTATCCTAACATTTTTTTATGATTTTTTAAAGCACACGCTATTACAGCTTCATGTGTCTGGCATAGATCAGTCTTGCAAAGATCTAATTAGCTTTAAACATTAAAAACACCATGTCTTATGTCAGATGAGCACCCTATCTAGTAATTTCTACAAATGGCATAGAGACAGCAGTTTCATGTCTGACCCCAGTTTTTTGCTCATCCATCCTCAGTCACTTAAGCCTCGCTGGAGGAGTAAAAACCTTTAACTGCTCTTGAAGCTTAACATGTCCAGCGGTGTTACATCCCTTAAGATTTCCAGAATCCCTTAAATGCTATTGGTAGCTATAGGAGATAATATCGGGACTATACTGTAAATGGTAAGGCTCATTTGTATTGAGCTAGCAATAAATAATAAAGAATAAATCTCGTCTGTAACTCACATGCTGAGGTCAGCACTGGGAGAGCGTGGAGCTTAAACGAACAATATGTTTCTCCTCAGTTCACACAGGACACTCTAAGCTTACACACACACACACACACACACACACACTCACACACACAGGTCCAGAGGTGTGTTTCAGTTTTTTGCGTATCCATATTCAAATTTGCCCCAGAGTACATTCCCTGTGTTGTACAGCATGGAGACCCTGGGTCAGTCTGGGTTAAGGAAGTAGCACTTTTCATATTTCATGGGTCATGCACCACGTACCAGCCTATGTTTGATAACATCATGTAAAGTTTCAGGGTCGTCCACTGAGGGCTAGGATATCCTGCACTGGATCCTAATTGGGCAGAACAGCAATGACAGCAGCAGTTATCAAATCACACAGATAACCAGCAGTGTATGACTTCTCACGGCTCTTTGGTGTCTCCTGTCTCCAACACTTACAATCCCCACATCTCACTCCCTGTTTTCCTCTGTGCCAAGAAAGCAGATCTCCCCATTTTCATAACAGATCATTTGGTCTCATATTCAGCTTTTAAGACTTTTCACAGGAGAAAAAAAAGTTCTGCCAACATTGATGTACCATTCCTTCTTGAAAAAGATTTTCTTCTTTTTGGAGTGTGTGGGGGGACTGGTTCCATTTTTGACTTGTTTAAATTTCTTTTGTTTGTATTTTCAAAAGCACAATGGGTTATGGGTTCAGAACCAGAACTGGGTTTATTGCTAAGTAGGTTCACACCAGTGGCGATTGCTCTAAGACTGCAAGGGAAGCTCGGCTTCCCTTAAAATGTCACCCCCCCAAAAAAAGAAAAAGTGGTGAAATACGTACTGCTGTGTGTTGATTTCATTAACTAAATGAGCGCTAGAAAGCCTTCATCTTTTGTTCAGAATCAGCGTCTTATCACACTGTGATAAGAAGCTGATAATCACAGGTAACCAGCATAACTTCGTTCTCATTCATCCTCGCAGCGCCTCACACAGCCGGACGCTCAGCTTCTGCTGACTTCAATGTGGAACCTCAAAGTGGGTTGTTCCAGCAGCAAAACTAGACGCTCATTGGATAAATGTTGGGCTTTGTCCCGCCCATCGGACGCTCAGCGTCTCTGGAGTTCTATGACGAGAGGGCGGTCCCAACTTTCTCCCGGACGCTGAGCTTCTGCATCCATGATTGGATGAGCTGTCTGAGGCGAAATCCTTTTTTGATTGACAGCTAAATATGCGAATCAGCGATCTTGAAGAATAAAACATCTACCAAAGCATTTTCCAAGTTATTCATTCCGTTGTTCTTAACTGCTCCGGAGACTTTACCGATCCTCAGCGACTTTAGTCTTTTTTAAAAACGACTGCCGTTGTGTTTGGCGACTCTGTTCTGTTACATACAAATGAACAAACACAATTATGATGTAGGCCAGAAAAATGAGCTTACCCTCCTTGAAAGACCAGCAGCCGCCACTGGTTCACACATAGGCCTACAAGCAATTTGTCTTGGTGTTTTGGGTTTTGAGAGTCATAGTAGAAATAATTGAGTAAAAATAGAAAAAAAATGTAAATAATTAAAAAAAGAATTTCCTGCAGTACTACATTTCTCAACAGATCTTTAATTAAAAAAAAGACAAGTATGGAAATGATGTAAAACAGTAAACCAAATTTAGAACAAAATGGAAAATGGAGAGCAGTTATTTTCTGCAGGAAGGTGATGGATGATATTTGTGCAAAAGTCAAAGTACAAACAACACAGAGTGCAATGAAACAAACAATGTCCAATGTGCATTAATGTAATTCAATAATTTTATTATTGCCGTGGTTTTAACCTAAAACATGGGACTGTGCCAGGGGTGAAGGGTTGGCAGGGCCCAGATCCAGGTCAGGGGTGAGTCTGGGGTGAGTGGTCTGCCACAATCTTACCTGCCCACCTCAGGGTCCTGGAGGTTTGCAGGTCCTACAGAGATGGCAGGTTGCAGGTGATACCCGGCTGCCTGCTCTTGGAGTGGTGGCCGCAGCACATAACACTGTTAGGGTCAGTGGGGTCTGAAGTACATGAAGAGACAACATTAAATTACTATGGCAATGAAATTATGTAATATCATAACGTTATTCAGAAATCAAAGCCAAAATATACAATAGTGTGTTTGTTTTTTTGGATATGAGACCAGAGGCTCTATTTTCGCGCCCACCAGTGGCGAAGCACATGGTGGTGCAACCTGCACAGTGGTAATTTAGTCTGGCGCAGTCACAGCCAGTTTGGTATTTTGGTAGACAGAGGCGCACCAAGATGTGTCAAGCTGGCTGTGGCAGCACAGTAGGAGAAGGTATTGACTGAATCAGCTGGCGCAGTGACATTTTCATGCCTGCCAGTGGCAAAGAAAGTGCGCTGAAAGCTCGCCGATTAAAACCTGGTCAGCTTTCAAGTGGTATTTTGGTAGACCAGTGGAGCAGTGTGCACACGTCTCTATACCTCACCGGCAGGTTTCCACAGTATCAGGCACATTTCAATGCCATAAATAACCAACAACAACCAATATTCAGTGCAACTGTCTGAGTCAGCACATACATTTAGCTCTATATCTTTATATTCTGATCTATATCTTATCTGATGAGTGCATTCGGCATGCATTTGGACACTCAACCTGACCAAATTAACACAGCTGAAACTAGAGATATTTAAGATATTTAATCGATCTTAATGTCAATATTGGAATTTGTTTATGTTGTGATCAGTGCGCACAATCCACCTTTGTCACGTGGGGTTTAAATATATGCAACTTGATATGAGTGCCTTTATCATATTATTTCATATATTATATAGTCTCTATAGCACCTATAAGGCATATGTTACCCAGCAGCCTTTGTATTAAAATGTACCTCCAGAAATTTTACTGACAAGTGAAATAAATCAAGGCAGGACCTTCCCGCTGAACCACGTCAGAACAAATGGAGCACGCCACACCACTAATTCCCCACCAGCCTTTGTATAAACACAAAGGAGAGAGAAACAGAGGGTGAGGAGGGGAAGGCAGGCCATGAGGGATGGTCAAGAATTCATCCACCAGTTAGGGAGAGCAGGAGGGTATGGGGAGGATTATAGTAGGGATGACAGATAAATATTGAAGAATTTTATGTCTCAAAAAGTTATGAAAGAAAAAACTGTACGGAAAATCCCTTTAGTATAAAACATGACCTACAGTGAGTTTAACCCTTGAAAGCAGCTCAGCCTCTTTGGATGAAAAAAGGAATTCCTTGAAATTTAGAAACTGAGCAAAATCTGCCAATTTTTTAAAGAACTCACATTTTTAACAGGTAGGAGACAGAAGAAAATCAGAGGCCTAACAGGGAGGAAAGTCAGATAGAGAGGAAAGAGGGACTTATAATTAGGATGTTTAATCAGAGCTATCACTTGTTATGCTTTGGATTTGAAAAGCTTAAAATATAAAATGTGTAACACAAAATGCCGATGGTGCCTGATAAGAGGCCTTAGGGTGTGTATGGCAGAGACTCTCTGTAAGCTCTGACGTTGAGTGTTAATAGTGTGTTACACTGATAAGTGAGGTGCTGGATGTGGATCGGCCGTGAGAATAAGAACATGGATTAACCCTGGTATTTAATATTTTACTCAACAAGTTTCCTAAAGCTGACCCCCTTACAGATACACATGGCAGCACACCAAGAAGGCTGAATTTGTGTAAACACAATCTGAAATGTGATACAAGCAGCTGCTATTTTCATTCAAGGTCTCATGATAACATGTAACTCTCCTTTATTCAAATGGAACCAAATTCACGAGTTTTTTTTAATTATTATTTATTTTTTAATAACCAGTCTTACTAAAAAAAGCTAAGCTGAGCAGGAACATTTTTTTAAGATGCATAGTCATCAGCGTAAAATTAACATTAGGATTGCAACATCTTAAAAGTCATTTATTTTTGCAGCTCCTTTGTTGAAAGTAGGATTCATTGACAGAAAAATTCACACAATGAATATTGAACCAAATAACAAAATACAAGCAAAATTGTAATAAGCCATCGGACTGTCAACCATTACACAAATTCACAGAGAGATGAATTAAACACGTGTGCATACCGTATGAATATTAACACTTCTAACACACACAGTACATACTGTATATACACATTGGTAAAAATAACATCCTAAACAGAAAAACCACTACCTCCTCAGCACAGCTATAACTGGAAATAAAATGCACTTGAATGTGTTATCACTGCAGGATGAAAAAAAGATTCCTTTATAGTCCATTTTCTGAAATTCTTTTCAGCTTATTGTATCTCTATTTTAGGTTTGATGTTTTCTGATTTTATCTGAATCTTGGTGTAGGCTCTGGTTCTCCTGATTATAGACTTAACTCTAAATAAATATATTTGAAATACTTTTACCAAAAACAATGTTGTAAAATGTTACTAATGTCCTGGTTAATTATTTGAATTTAGATTATACGCATTTTGGATTACAAACTTAAATTTGAGAAAAGAGAACTCTGTTGGGGTTTGATTTTTTTCATGTGACTTTAAAAGAACTGGAGGCCAAGAATTTCAACCTGTTGTTATAAGAAATTAATTGAATAAAGTCAGCAGACTAAAACCAGATGACTCTTATCTGTTTTAATTAACTGAGGTTTTTTAGGTTTTAATTTAAGAGGAAACAGTTTCAGTAGACTCACTTTATTTTTGGTTGAAGTCAAACATCAAGAATTAGCAGATTTGTGTCCAAAACAGATTCTTTGCTGCAGCCTGATTAATTAAGAGTCTAACCGATGACTATACTTAAATCTTTGTAATAAAGAAGAAAAAAAGTAATATATCTCAGCTACCTGCTCTGTAACTAAAAGGGTACATATTATATGAACTTCAAAAGTAGTTAGCATTCATAAATCAGTTTGATAAATGTGAAAAATACAATAAGAATAAGACACTGAAGAGGGACATTGTTCTGGTTTAATTTACTCACATCAAAGCACTGAATAATCCACCATGACAAATGTCATTTGCTCCTCCAGGGTGTTATATGTATTTCTACACTACAAACTAAGAGTTTGACTAATCTGGGTCTGGTTCCCATGATAGCTGCCGCACATCAGCTTCGTTTATACATACCATCCTGCTAAAATAAACTCAACCAACTTAATGCCACCCACATGCCTCTGAAGCCAAACAGATAAACTCTGTAAAAATGTGAAAATCAAACAAACTTAAAAGAAAATTAGGAAGCTTATAAACAGATGTTTGAGCCACTGTGTCATGGCCTATTTCCTAATCAGTCAATTTCTCAGTATGTCTTTATTTTTCTGTAGACGGACTTCAGGACTAGAAAAACCACAATGAGCAGTCAAGATCAAACTACCAGATTTACACAGCGTAGAGATGTCAGGAACAGAGTCATGTTGAGTTGAGACAGATGTTCACAGACACAGGCACAGTCTGACACCTGCTGGAGTATCTGTGGAACATATTTAACTTTCCATGAAGAGCCGAATAGCTGATTTTAATACTCATTAATATAGTATAATAAGTGAATAGTCAAGACAGCTTTAGACTGAAGTTAAAAGAGATGAAGTTAAAAATCAAGTTTACATATATGAGCACAAAGGGATCAATAAGTTGCAACCTTGACAGAGATGATGGAATAATTATTCTCTTTATTAGTTACTTAATGACACAAAGTAGTGCTTTGAAAAATAAGTCTTCCAACATATGAGGTCAGAAAACATTAATATATATTCTTCTGGATATTTTTACAGAAGCATAACAGTTATTTTACAAAAACAGCACACACAAAAAAGGTTATGTGTAAGTTGAAATATCTGAATCCTGACAGAATGTGCATCTTTTTTTCCAGATAAGATGAATCTTTTGAACATTTAGACTTTGCATCAGAAAGTATCACTTGGTGGAACGTCTTTTAAGAAAAATTAGTGATTTGAATGTACTCAGATTTTGTAATTTGTTCAAAGAAACTCAATACTAACAGCATAAGGAAAACCATAAAACTGTTTGAAAAAAATGTCCTCATGACAGCACAGGAAGTTTAGGGCATGCGTTCACTGATAGCATTTTCTGGTCTGGCAAGGGCCAACAATGGCCTAATGTTTCACAACACTTCTCACCTGCAGCCTGACTGTTGTTGGTTGTGGAAGTTGTCCAACAGCACTCATGCTTTCCTTAGTGGTTACATTTAAATCTGTTCAAAAATTCAGTGTATGCTTCACATTTGCATTCATTTAACAACAATAGCAACAAAAACTGTTTTTTTTAAACCAGCTGACATAAATCATGTTGTAGCATTAGCAGCTGCTTCAGACCTGGACATAGACCTGGAAAATTGTATTCAGCTTTGCCTCTTTAAAAAACCTCCAACTATGCTGAGAAGCCCTGATACGAACAAGCACAGTGATGTTTCAAAAAATGAATCATTTTCAGCTGAGAGCATTTTGCACTAAACAGCTGATGCAGAGGTCACCTTTGTAAGGGCCCGAGCATAGCTGCTAAGCAGCTGCGAGACCCCTCTTGTTCCTGATGAGTTTTTCTTTGTTTCTTTCTTTCTTTCTTTCTATCTTTAGGGCCCGAGCGTAGCTGCTAAGCAGCTGCGAGAGCCCTCTTGTTCCTGCATGGGTTCTTCTTAGGGCCCGAGCGTAGCTGCTAAGCAGCTGCGAGAGCCCTGTTGTTCCTGTATAGGTTTTTCTTTAGGGCCCGAGCGTAGCTGCTAAGCAGCTGCGAGAGCCCTCTTGTTAGGGCCCGAGCGTAGCTGCTAAGCAGCTGCGAGAGCCCTATTGTTCCTGATAGATTCTTCTTAGGGCCCGAGCGTAGCTGCTAAGCAGCTGCGAGAGCCCTCTTGTTCCTGATGGATTCTTCTTTCGTTATTATTATTATTATTATTAGGGCCCGAGCGTAGCTGCTAAGCAGCTGCGAGAGCCCTCTTGTTCCAGATGGATTCTTCTTTCTTTATTAGGGCCCGAGCGTAGCTGCTAAGCAGCTGCGAGAGCCCTATTGTTCCTGTATGGGTTTTTCTTTCTTCTTTCTT